ATAAAACTGACAGCTGGAACATGTTATGATTATTATGAGTAATCATAGAGTGGGAAATGCCTTTTTGTATACATGTTACATAATATTTGCACACCAGTCTTTCCAAATTGGAACTCCAATGGCCATGCTGTAGCATCCACTTGAAGGGAAGCAGGCTGTGGAAAGTTCCTTTACGATATGAGCAGAGGACTTTGTCCTTTTTTCAAAGAATGTGAGAATACCTATTAATTTACTTGAAAATAAGTTTTAAAAGCTGAGCCAGACTGAAAAGGAACCATTATTTTGAATTGTTGCATTATTTGATAGCTTTCAGATGTCCTGTTTTATGCTGTAACATCAAAGGTAGCATTTACTCACAGGTAACCATTCTTTCCCCTAAACTCTTCCTTTTTACCATACCCATTCATCAGCTAAAGCAACAGTTTCCAAAGGTTAATATTGTACCACATTAAGAGGATTTCCTTTTAATATATTGTAAGTATATTGCTTTTTGATTTTATCATTCTTCTGGTTCTTGTATTACTGGAAACATAAACAGGATTTGGTATTCCATCTGGACATTACTATTCATAAGTCTACATTTTATTTCCTATCTACTGATAATGTGCAATGTTTAGTAGCCTTTCTTCACAATGCTGTTGAATTATTGACTTTCCATTACAATAATAGGTAATTCTCAAATTATTTGTGGTAAATAGAGAATTGAGAGGAGAGGAGAATTAGAAGAACATTTATTTTGGTGTGGGAACTGGCTTCAGTTTTAATATTTATAATAACATTCCCCAATTCCCAAATATTGTTTCAAAAATAAGCTTTCATCGATATGAATTTAGCCCCCATTTGCAATACTTTAAAGCACTCACTAGGTTCACAGGCTAGCATAGAGGCTAACCATTTGGGGGTTTCCTAATGGTTTCCTATCCATGTTTGATCCTGCTTAGCTTTTCAAGATTGGTCAGACTCAGCTATGTACTGCCATCTGGCTGGGCTACTATTGCTAAAAATTGACAGGACTACCATTTTGAGACAGGAATTCATGAAAACTGTAGTTTAAGCACTTTAACAGGATTACCACAGTTTAAAAATCAATCTCCCCCCACAAAAAAACTCTCCTCTCCACAGACGCAGGGGAAAAAAATAAAATCTTGGTCCCCTCATGTGCCTTGCCCTTCCTCTCACTTTGATTTATTGCCTCCCCCATAATACCAGATATGAGTAGACACAATCCCCAGCATACATAAATGAACAACTTCCCTCCAGCACAATTCCTATGTTGAAAGATACGTATTAATACCATAGCTAGGTGGACTAGCTGCTGGGGTTTTAAAACTTCATTGTCATGCATTTTTTTTTAAGCAGGCTCATCTTTTGCTCTAACAATCATTTGTATAACGTCTACTCAACAGAGATGTATACTAACAAATGCACATAATATAAGTAGACATACAATTTTATTTAGGAACAGATTGACACACTCCTGATGGCCTAAGTAGCAGCAACTAGTGCTTTCTTCCTTGGTGCTCATGTAATGTCTCAGTTACAGTCAGTCCACATGTATAAAATAACTAATTACTAGCGATAGTAACAGGACTGAAAACCAGGAGGTGCTTTTAGACAATCTACTTGTGTCCTCTTGCTTAGAGTTATGGAGATGGTCTGGAGCTGGTATGGTTACCAGCTCCCTGTTCCAGTATTATAATAGAGTAGAGAAGACAAGGTGGTACACTGGGTAAAGTACTGAGAGCTTTTGATATTACCAATCAAAGCATAGAGAGTAACAATGCTTCCATTTCTTCCTATTGGTTAATGGAAGAGGAAGCAGTATGTGTGTATCACTAGTAGAAGACTATGGGTTCTTCCTTAAGCTTTAATAATTTATTAAATTTAATTTTTCTGGGTTCAGAAATAGAGAAATTAGAATTAATTAATGTTGGTAGAAGCATAATCTTTTTTAGATGTAGTAAATCTCTTAACTAGTGGGCACCCTACCATTTGAATATTGAGTTAGGCAGACTGTTGGTTGATAGCCCTTTTTATTGTGAGATGGGGGAAAAGGTTGAGGCTTCTCTTTCTGTGAGTGGGTCTTCTTAGATTATTAAATTGTTGAAGCACAGTAATCTTGCATGTATCCAAACTACTCAATTTTTCCAGTTTGGCTTGCTTCCTTTTGATTTGGACACAATCCTTTTTTAGTACTCCATATTGTCCATGTACTTGGAAGAGCTGGACATTTCCTGAATGGACATCCTTTTCAAAGTTATTATTATCAGGCTGCTAAGACTTCATAGATTGCCAAGCAATAGCCATAAAAATTCATGGCTGTTTCACATACATAATTCATTCCATGTTTTATTACATGAGAGATAAAATTGCAATGTTTTACAGCCAATGTAAACAGGTTATGAGAAGCATTCTTCATACAGTCTGTTTTATAGAAGACAATTCCTTTCAGTATATATATATATTTTCTCTTCAGGGTTATTTTTTCCAGATTTGTAATCCTATGCTCAGTCAATGAACTCAGTGGATTTACATCTGAGTAGTGACATATCTGGTTACCCAATTAGTTCTACAGTTCAAATATCTAACCAACTATTAATTTCTTAGGAAAGTGGTTGCAAGGACATCTTGACTTTTTCATACTTTATTGCTGCTTGGCTAAAGGATAGCATCATATAAGTGCATGACAATGCCTGGAAGCTCTATCAATCATTATGCTATTCCTCTCATCTTTATTACAAATTCTGAAGGTTATTATGAGATGGCCAACTCCATTGTGCTAACTCCTACTGAACTGAATAATTACCTTATTCAAATATTTTTCCCAAACTGAGAAGAAACAATATTGTGAGAACTAGTAGGTGTTTTAGCTGTATTTTTGAAACTAAAATTTCTTTCCAATTTTCCAAACTTGTTTTTGAACGGGCTTTTAAGAAAGAAAAATGGATTTCTTTAAGCAGTAGAGAAATCCATTGAGCCTATATATGGAAACTGTTCTGTTCATTACACAACCACATTTCCAATACCTCTAGCGGATTTAAGTCCTAGTTGGGTTTAAAAACTGATTCATCCTTTATGCAGCAAATGTGGCTGTGGATTATTTGCTACATGTTTCTCAGAGAACATAGTAGAACCAAATGCGTTTATCTATACATATGTGACAGATAAGCACTGGGAAACCAAAATTGGTGAGTGCTCCATGGATTATGTTCATCATGCATCTATGGATGATAGCTTTAACAAACTGCAGAAATGTTCTGGAATATGCATGGTAGACAGGTAGCATACTTGTTTGCCATATAGAAGTGCAGTTGACTTTCATTGTGCAATAGGTCAGATTATATGCAGTTTCTTTCTATACCCACTTCTATATATAAAAAACCTGAGATTGTCAGTACTTAACCGCAGCTGAAGTGAGAGTCCTGCTCTTCAAGGTCATTATCCTTCCATCTGTAGTAATTTACACCTCATTAAGAAAGCCTAAATTAAGTTAGTTACTTTGTGGGCAACCTCAGTTCCATGGGGAAGTGAAGACCCATATCCTATAGCTGTATGTATTTGGCCAGGGATCAAGAGGATGGAAATTGACTTGCTAATTTGTCTAATATGATATAACATGTAGTAAATCTGAAGAGTTAGGGGAAAACTTTTAAGGAATGCCATGCCTCAGAATAATGCCTTTCCTTTGAACAGATTTTCAAAACTATGTATAAGCCAGTGCAGGCACAGCTTGATTTCCTATAGGACATTTTGTTTAATTAGTGCAACTCCTTGAAACAGGATCCTAGTAACCCTATCAGCCACCAACCTGAAGCAGTCATGTTTTCTATAGACACTGTTATATGCAGCCTTTGGAAAGCTTGATGTGAAAGTTACCATCAGCAGCTTCTCTTTAAATTGCAAAGCTGTCATCCTTTTATAAGGTACAAACAACTCCCAAGGGGAATTCTTTCTACTAAAACTAAAACATAACCCTATCAAGGCTAATATAAAAGGACCTCCTCTGGACAACAGTATTCTCTTCAACAGGAAGCTGTTGTAGGGTCTCAAATATAGTCTCAACATATCAGAGTAGAGATTTAGAGTAGTGTTTTCAATTTTACAAAGCATCTTTCTATTAATTGCATGGAAACTACTCTGCTGAACCTTATACAAATATTTAATTGTATAAGGTTCAGCAGAGTATTTAATTGGGCAAATATTATTGATATTTCAGTTGATTGTAAACTATCAGGAGTACTTGGCAAATGCAGCTTTATATAAATGGAATAAATAAATACTTGTTTACTTACTAAAATCCCTTTTCTGTCTTTTGCAATGGTTAAGGATTTCAAAATAGTATAAATAGCAATGTGATTAAGCAGTAATGTTTTCAGTAATGCATCAGTAAAACCCTAACAATTAATAAAAGTGGTCTTCAAATTAAAAAAAAAAGAGTACTTAAAAATATGTTTAGCAGCAGTCCAGAGTTGGGCACCACAAGAGACTCAAGGCCCTCTCAAATCAGTGATAATTTGGTAGCACCATTTTAAACTAACTGTAGCTGATAAAACCTTAATTTTTTTATGTTGGTCTGAAAAGGTGCTACCATAGACTAACAAGGCTCTCCTCCTACAATGTCTCAGATCATTATCTCTGTCACCTCTGAAAACAGGAATCCCATACAAGATGGTCTCTAGATATAATCTCTTTCAAAAGGTTCATGGCTGGGCTGTAGCTACCTGGCTCCCATGTTGGTTTAGGGGTTTAAAGATTGTAAACAGCAAGAACTATGCTCTGAAGCGATCAAAAGTTGGTGTAGTTGCATTCATTTAAGATTCTAACGGTAGTTTCTGACTGTAACTCCAGGTATAATGCATTACCGTCATTCAAATAGGATAGTTAACATTGTCTGGATGACATTGTTTGGGTTTGTTTTGTTTAAAAGTGTTGCATTCATTTCTTCTTTTGCTTTTATTTTTTTTCAGTGAATGACTGCTTTCTTTGCTTCTTTTTTGCAGCATTTACCAAAAGTAGTGTTCCTTTGGATTTGAATGCAGCTAAAAAAGATACCATCAGCAGGACTGTGAACAGGAAGAATCTATGGACAGAAAAGGAGAAGCTCTAAAGCAAGAAGACAGTGGACAATTTCACTGTAGAAATTTCAGCTCTGCATCTTTAGCTTTTGTCTGCAGCCACAGTCAAGTGCAGCTATATTTACAAAAGCATTTTGGGAGCCCTGGTTCAAGAATTGCCAAATATTGATAGCATTTCAGTTATTATTTAAAATGAGGCAAGTTAAATTTGAAGATGCACCATATATTGTAAAATGTCAGATTGCCTGGTGTCCTCTTAGGTTTCCTTCTACCAGTTCTCTACCAGTCCTTTCTGAATATATTTTATTGAGAAAAAGAGAAATAGTGTGTGTCTACATAGACATACCTGCACAGACATAGAAACTTTATATGTTTTAACTTCAAAGACTTGACAGTATTTTGACTGAACAATATAAATAAAATATAAATATACTTTGTGATAATCAGGAAATGCTGAATAAAAATTGTTTTGTCTGTGTATACGTGTTTTATAATATTAAGAGATGTGCATGCATAACAGCATTTTACAACAAAAGGTGCCTCAAATGTATTATGCAATGATTACATTATCATGATTAATAATAGACATAGTTTATTTCTGAAACAATGAACTGAATTTCCTCTACCTGATCCAAGCTAAAAGAAAAATATAGCCTAATCCAAGATTGGAGGAACTCTTTGTAATGAACTATTTTTCTGATTAAGCACAAGGATAATTTTGTTTCTAAAATCTAAAACAACCTAATAATGTAATGAAATGTTTTTGGTTCTATTTGTTAGAAGAGGCTAGAGTTACCGTATTTAATTTTGTATTACAGATCTAGAGATACTTGTAAGTTGATAAACCAGTTGAGAACTTTTGACAAGAGAGGTATTTTTATATGAATATTCAGCCTTTTAAAACAAATATTTCCCATAATCATAGCATTTTTACCCTTGCTTTATTCCATTTATTGAAATGTTAATGAAAATGTACAGTATTTTGGCTATATATTATGACCTCTGGCTATATTCAGCTCTTTCCTTTCTTGACATTTTAATAAAGTCTTGAAGTACATTTCTCTTTCCCTTTCCCGTCACCTGCCACAATTATTATTGGTTTATTGAATCTCTCTTGCTTCTGATCTGTGAATTGCAAGCCAAGTCCTCACAAAAGTGTCTTGAGAGCCAACACAGTAGTCAAACTAGAGATTGTACTAGTGATATGGACTGTTTCCCAGTAACTTGGTGATGTTAGCATTTTCTTTAGATAATGGCCTGCTCTTCGAAGCCTGGTTATTTCACTTTCACTGTCAATAATGATGTCAGCTTTAATTGGTAGTAATTACTAGGTCATATGCCAAGCAAGAAGTGAGCGTTCCTTTGAAACTGCCTGGTGCTGCCTGAGGAAGAAATGGAAGAGGCATGTTAAAAGAAGATTTTTACATTACCCTTTTTTTCTAGTACAGTCGATTGTTTAGAAGAAGCTGAAAAATACTGAACAGATTATTCATACAAGTGCTGTGACTTGGGGGTATGGTTGCTTGTTTGAAAAGACTTGATTTCTCAGAAACATCTTGCCTGTCCTGGTTCAGTAGGATAATTTGGCCTTCTCTGTGTACTCTGTAAAAATAGCATACTCAAATAACTAAAGGGGGGAAGGAGAGCCTGTGACTTAGCTAAAACAGCTAATGGTGCTGGTTATACAACTTCTGGGGGTCAACAGATTCTAACCGTATCTTAAAAGGCCTCCATTTCCTCTGAGTCAGGTTGCTCACAGAAAATGGTTGCCCAACTTTTGACAATCAACCCTTCCCCTAGCACCTCACACCACAGCTTACCCATTCAGAAAAGTTCCCTAACCCTTTGGGTCACATTGCAGTACAGCATGGAAGGACTGCCGTGGGAAAAACAAACTCTGCTTATAACATCCCTGTGGCACAAGCCTAAGTCTGAAAGGTACATAATAAAAACAGCTTACAGAGAAAGGACAAACTTACTGGCATTAACCTATCCATGAAACAAAAACCACTGCCTCTGTCTTATGGATCTTTATGGAGGATCCATGTACTGTAATATGACATAGTGCTTCATTTGCAATCAGCCTGGTTTTCCTGCAGTTGTGTTGATCTTCTTATTCCAAAAAAAAATTAAAATACTGATAAATAAGAAAATAATGGAATACAGTGTAATTTTTAAAGCAGATATAAATGGGGACGATAAGCATTTAAGACAGGGTAGGAAGAATTATTCCAGGCAAGATGGTGCTCTAATGGGGATAGTCCTTTATCATTTCCTAGGCATTTCCCCTTTTTTAATAATAACATTATTACATTTTTTTAAAAGAACAATAAAAAACTAACCAAGACTAATACTAAGAATAAAAAATGAGGAAAAAAATGAAAAAAAAATAATAAAAAGAAAAAGTGCAGAAAAGAAAAAAAAACAAACAAAAAAGAATTGACTTCCAACCCACCCCATAGCAGATATAAGAAACAATATACATCAAACTCTTGCTCTAAATGTACTACATAACTTCCATTATTTCTATTAACCCAAATTATTTCTAAACATCAAACCTATACAACTTAATTTCATTTTTGTATATCCCACGAAAAGTCTCCCTCCCCCCCAAAAAACCAATTAACACTAAAATTACCCAATGTCTTAAAACTCAATTTTGCCATCTCTGCCAACTCCAGTTCAGAAACCTTTATTTTGCTATGCATTTAAAAACCTTGCTGCTATTATCATATACAGAAAATAAAATTATAAATATCATATCCTTTCACTTTATACATATAAAAGCCTTATTACTATTGTCATATATATGAAAAAAAAATTCTATAGATTTAATAACAAATATATCCTAACCTTAGAGAACTTTATACCAGAATCCTTGAAAGATTGTCAGTCCTGGTCATAAAAACAAATCCCATTAATAACTACTAAGGGCCTCAACATATTTGTTAATGATAGTCCAATAAATTCACTTTGTAAACATTCTGTTTACTTTTAAAAAGTTTAAACTTTAGTCCTTATAATGTCCCACCAGTTGGTTCCCCATAATGTTCTTGTTTTCTCTTAGAAACATCTCCAATAGTTTCTCTTCAACTCTTCCCAAGAATGGCTTCACTGATGCAATACATTCCTTTTGCAAATCCAAAGCAAAACATCTTTCCAGATCACTCTTCTCCATTATTTGTAATGGAGTCTAAATATATAATTTTTTTAAAAAAAAATTCCCTTTAAAATTTTTAACCTCAATTGGTTCCATTTGTAAATCCATTCTAACAGCTTTTTCCATACCATCCTTTGGCCATCTTAAGTGCTTTTTTAAATCCATAACTTCTTTATTCTTATCACCTTCATAATCCAACATTTTTTTTTTTTTTGGAGTTCCAATTCCACATTCAGTTCAGTGTCCACCTTTTTTCCAGAGTTAATAATCTTATCCACTTTTTCCGCTGTCTTTTTTTCAAGGGACTTAAATCCTAGTTCATCAAACATTGACTGGAGTAGACTTAAAGAAATTATTTTATCTTCTAATGGCTGCTCCAATGGGGCTCTTTTAACTTCTTTTTTTCTTTCCATTTAGACAAGTAAAATGTATAGCCAGATATAGTTAATTACAAGTGAAAGTAAACTGCAGTTCATACCCTCTAATGCCTTTCAAGCTGAAATTGCAGGTGTGTGTGCTCGCTTCAAAGACATCACACAGGAATGAAGTTATAGTCTAGCTCTGTTTCTAAAGCCCCACCAACCAACAGACAGAATTGAACAAAACATAAAAGTTTCCCATAGAAAAGACAAACCTCACTGCAGATGGAGTTTCATGAAAAAATAAATATTTAGCAAATAAATCTTCCTTTTTCACTGTAAGTAAATTTTAAGTCTGTTTTAAATTCCACTTTTCCTCCAGCTTTTTGCAAATTAATCAGCTTGATTGAAAACTCTATTTCATTTAAAAATATAGTCCCAAAAATAAGGATAAGCCCCAAGAGATTTACTTATCTGTTG